AATCAATAGAACAGGTAATAAATATTTTAATTCTCATAAATAAAACCAAGAGAGATAGGCATTCAATATTCCCAAAACATATGAATATGATTAATCCGAGGATTCTTTTATTGTTAGATCATTAAAAAAATTATATTAGATATACACACAGCTTGTTATACTGATTTTTTCTACTTTATCATCAAATACTATGCTAACTAATCATTCGGACCCATATCCAAATATTTGGTTTTCAACGATTTTAACCAATAAGTGTTGTGCTTCCAATCCAGTTTCTTCCTATCTTCAGCCCCTGGTGGCCAATTAATATTTTTATGGTTCATGAAAGAAGAATAGCACTCGATTTCTTCTTTACTAGCCCAGTCGAAATCTATTAACATTTCTTGATACTGACCTTGAGATTTGTTAACCAAAATATTGGAATCACAAAGGTCAGCAAACACAATATTTTCATCATACAATTTGTTGATAGCTTCTTCAATATTCCAAAAAATCATTTTATATTTATCATGACTAAGCGAGTCGCAATTATAAAGTGGCACTGCCTCGATATAATCCATCACTACCATATAAAAACCATCTACTATCTCTTTGTTAATGTATAGTAGTTTGGGTGCCTTTCCAATTTCACTACACAGTTCGTGTGTCCTCTGATTATATTGCCACACGAATTTAACAATAATTTTTTGTCCGTCTTTTGTTACAGCTTCTCAAAGAAGCTTGTAATCTAAAAGTTTTTCTTCATATGTAAACTCTATAGTTGTATCTTGATATACATATTGATTCAAGTAAGGAAAAAATCGCTGTAAATTTTGTCAATTTATAGGTATATCTAATGATAAATAATATTCCTTTAATCTATTTACTCCCAAATATAGAGCTTTGAAAAGTCATACTACTCGCTCTGCGTGGGCTCGATTGTTTGTAGGAATGAAAGGTATAAAGTCCGTCAAGGGATCTACAATCAGTTTCTCAACATATACTGCCCCTAAAATACACACACATGGCCCAGCTAAACATAAGATAAAAGAAGGCCAGTTACACCATTTGAGTACTTCCCCATATGTCTGTTGGGTATCCCTTAAACCGTCCATTTAAGCGGACAAATTTGGCTGCTTAAATTTTATAAATTCATATCTGATCTATTTTTTT